TGGTTTTGCTTTGTTTCACAGAACTAATCGTTGCCTGGGTTGCGTACGTATGTTTGGGGCGGAGCTATCAAAATAGGGGCGAGACCCTTTTGGGGTAGGGGCGTGTTTGTTTTGGTGATTTCAAATGTCAACATTGGCTACCAGAAATCACTTACCCCACCTTTAACGATAACAATCCTGGCTCATAGTGCTAATGAGATGTGATTTACAAACAGTTTTTAGCCTTTTGAAGTTAATTGTGTTGTTTTGTATGTGTGTTGCAGTAATGATGGCACAGAGTTCGGCGGCTCCATCTATCAGAAGGTGAACGGTCAGTTGGAGACGGCGGTGAATCTGGCCTGGACCGCAGGCAGTAACAACACACGCTTTGGCATCGCTGTCAAATACCAGCTAGATAAAGACTCCTCCATCTCTGTGAGTGCAAAACACAATCCAGTAACAACGGACAAATGTCTCTGACTGTAGATGATAAATAACCCTGTGTCTCTCTTCAGGCCAAAGTCAACAACGCTAGTCTGGTTGGAGTAGGATACACACAGAGCCTCCGGCCAGGTGAGCAAACACCTTCATGTCATTAATAATCAGACGTTCATTCCTTAACTAGGTGTTTACAAACTTAAAAGTTTGAAATAACTTTGAAAAGCTTGAAGTTTGAAGACTTTACTCGAAGCCAATAAAATGTTATTAACATGTTCTAGCACATTGCTTAAAAATCAAAATTGACTTTATTGACTTTATTAGCGCACATTGCTAGTCTTGATGTGAACAATTAATCCGTGCAAGTTAATCCGCTGAAAAAAATTGTTTGACTTGGTAATCTTTGATCAAAATCTGAACATTTGCTTCCACTCTGGAATGGCATTCCTTCTCTGATGACTAGGGATGGGCGTATCGATCCTAAGTATCGATACTCAAACTAAAAATATCGATACTAAGGTGTGTTTTATTTACCAGTGATTTTGTTTATTTAAAATAATAATAATAATGCGTACAAATGCATTGAATTGGACGAATAACCTTTGTTTGCAAGTAATTGTGTAGGATAGAACTATTTTCCTGCTCAGCTGAACACGCTAATGTTGCAAGACAGAACCAATCCATCACAGAGAGCATTCACTCACTTCTGACAGTGCATTCAAACAGGGCTGCGTTTCCC